AGGAATGCCACTTATATCATCTAAGTCTCTAATTTTACACTCTGGATCACCGCGTTTGCCACTGTCCCACTTGCTCAGGCTACGTCAGGTGCGAGCGGCCGATTATTTCATTACTGTGGTCCTGGCTGAGCATTTACATATTAAGATTCATCTTATTTTATAACAAATCACCTTCCTTTCATGTCTCCTTTATTTGAAAAAGGCCTTACGGGATGCAGAAAACGTATGTCTGTACAATGGAATGTTATTTGGCAATCGATTTAAAGGAATGAAGTTCTGATCCACGCTACAGCAAGGATGAACCTAGAAAACATTACACTGCATGAACAACGCCAGGCACAAGAGACCACATAGTGTATGATTCCATCTCTATGAATGTATGGAACAGGCAAATCTATAGACACAGAAAGTAGGTCAGCGGTGGCTTAGGGCTCAGGAGGCAGTGAACTGGGGGGACTGAAGGGTGATAGGTAAGGGGATCAAAATTTCCTTTCAAGGGAATGAAATGTTCTAAAATTGATCATGGTGATCGATGCACAGCTCTGAATATAATAAAACCATTGAACTGCACTTCAAATGAGTGAATTCCACGTATGTGAATTCTATCTCAATAAAACTGAGATATCTCAATAAAACTCTTATGGATCCCAACATGTTTTATACCTACGTTTTACATATAGTCTCAGAGAGTGAAGTGGGCATGGGGAAATATTTGTAGAAAAAAGAGGACACTGGGTCTGACAAGGCTGAGAACTGCTCACTGCTTTACAGGCTCTGATCCTGCTGATCTCGCTGACTTCAACTCTGCTGTTCCTCCAACTTGCCAAGTTCTGACCAGACTCAGGGCCTTTGCACCTGCTGTTCTGGCACCTGGAAGGCCCTTTCCCAGAAAAGGAGGCTCACCCCTCCCTTCATTCAGGTCATTGAATAAATGCACCTCCTCAGAGAGGCCTGACCTGACCACCCAATTGTCAAAGCCTGTTGATTCGCCTATTTTATATCCCCAGCATGGACACCTCCAGACTCCTATCTAATTGCTGACCTCACAGCTCTATTATGATGCTGAATAGATACCTCAAACTTCAAGTCCAAAATGGAATTCATCATCTTTCTCCTTAAATGTGTTTCTGCCATGGTGTTCCTCATTTTGCTACATGGAAAATGCATCCTTCCATGACTTGGGCCCAAGACTTAAGCATCCTCTATTCCCCTCCCATCCAACATCCAATCAGCAATGCTGCTGGCTCTACCTTTAAAAATATATCCCAGATCAAGACATGAATCAGGTTAACAACCAAATGCAATGAATGCACACTGACTGAATCTTGGATAGAAAAATACGTATTCTATAGATATAAAAGATAGGGGCAATTCAAATATAGACTTTTTATTAAATAATAGTATGGAATTCGTATTAATTTTGCTAGGTGTGATCATAGTAATATAATATAGGAGACTGTCCTTGTTCTTGGGAGATATATGTTGAAGTATTTAGGGGTGAAGAGTTATGAGGCCTACAACTTATTTTCAAATGCATCAGCAACAAAGAAACAAAAAGCAACAAGCAATCTGTGTGTGTGTGTGTGTGTGTATGTGTGTGTGTGTGTGTATAAAGCAAACATTAACACTGGTGAATCTAAATGCAACGCGTAGGGAGTTCATTGTACTATTCTTCAAACATTTTCAACATAAAAAGTTAGAAGAAAAAAATACATATGCCCCCAAATTCCCTTTCCTTCTTCTCTGCTTGATTTTTCTTCATAATACTTTTTATTCTCTGACATCTTATACATTTTACTTATTTACTTATGTTCTGTTTCTGATAGAAGATTTACTATCTTCTGCTTCTGTTGAAAGGATTTAAGATCCACAAGGGTAGAGATTTTTGTCTGCATTGTTTACTCCTGGGTTCTCAGTACCTGGAGGAGTACCTGGTACACATTCACCAAAGGGCGGGTGAATGAATGGAAGGATGAAAGAATGAGGGCTGACACACCCACAGGACCTAGCAGG